AGTAAAATTTTTTTCGTTGTAAAGTGATTTCTTCCTTCTCTTTCCTCAGGTCAGATAGAGCGATCCATGTATGCCTTTTCACCTGTTGAATGCCTCGACTGTCGCCGTAATCTAACAGCGGCTGGACTAGGTTGGTCAAAGTTCTTATGCTAGCATGTGATGTGGTTATGTTGATCACGTTCCTGTAATCGAGCGAACTTTGTTCCCTTAGTTTGCCAACGCGTAGACTTTAAGACGGACGTCATAACTTAAACATAACCAGAACGTCATAAGCGTAGTGTTTATACTGAGTGTCGCTGGATCAGTTGTACTTTCTGTGTGAGAAACAAGCAAAGTAATTTATTGCGTCAGCCTTGGCTGGGGTCTTTAAGATATCAGTTACAACAGAATCTGGTGTAAATAATCGAATTCTTGGTTTAACTGACGCGAAACGTAACATAAAAAACTATGAATATGAGAATTCGAACGGCAATTCAGTATCACTTGTATCTTAACAAGCTTTTTTTCTGTATAAACATTTGAATTGTTGCTTTAATGACCAACTGATATTAGTTAACATATTTGATCTGTTGATCTGTTTTAATCGTGAGTCGCAGAGTGACAAATATATTCGTCTGTCAGAGAAACGGCGAAACTCCGTTGATTTCAAATAAAAAAAGAACCTCTCAATTAATCGTGTGAATCCGAGTGAATGGTCTTGTATGTTTTATAAATAGTGGAAGGCAAAAACTATTATGTAATTTTATAGATGGCGGTAAAGTTGAGCTGTGGGACCTTGAGACCGGAAATGCTGTGAGATCTGTGCGTGGTCACGATGAAGATGCCGTCACGGCCATCAAGGTATCCATGGTAACATAGTTTTTGTAGGCGGACAAGCGGAAATCACGCCTGCATGAAAACTGGCTTTTCAATTTTTTTTCGGCTGGAGTTCGCGGGTGTTAATAAAAGCAGGAATTGGAAATAGGTATGGGCAGGAGCCCTAGTATGGGGAAGGGGCACCCAGCAATTATTTAGAAACCTGGGATTGGTCATGGAATGCTTAGTATTATCATTTGATTTTTGGGCCTGAAAAGTCGATTATCCGGACATCGATTATCCGGACTTTTCGATTATTTGTTTTATATATATACTAATTTGTTGCTTTTAGGCTTAGCCAAAGGTTATGTAGAGAAATATGATTTTTTCAAGTGAAAAGAATACAAGCGTTTTTACTTTTAAAAAAATTAGAAATAGCATAATTCTTGCACGAACTGCTGGACTTCGTTTAAATATTTTTTTGGCTATTATTTTATCCTCTAGTTCCAGGACGACCGTGTGATCAGTGGCTCGGCCAGTGGAGTGGTGAAAGTCTGGGACGTGAGAGACAATTCTCTTAAGCCTGTCATGAGCTCGGACCAGGCTCCTGTGGGCCAAACTACCGCGGGTGTGACCGTCAAACCCAGAAGGGTGCGTTGCTTGGCAACAACAGAGGAAACAATTTACTGGGGAGATGATGGAGTTAACATGAAGGCAATGGACTTGAAATCAGGTACAGATATCGCATAAATTTACTTGAATTACTTCTGGTCATGCCTAAATCTAATCCTATGATACCTGACTAATTTTTCTTTTTCACCGCTTAGGTAAACTCCGAAAGATTCGTAATCACGTAACAGAATTCGGGTCGACAGGTGCCATGGAAACGACGGATTCGTGTCTTGTTAGCGCTGGTTACGACCTGGACCGTGGGAATGGATACTTGAATGGTATGGCTTGGGTTTTTTTACCTTGCTCTGTGTGGTTGCCTCACATCATGGCTTCATGATGTTGCATGAATAATTATTCTATAGCTTTAAAAGAGCTATTCACGCTCTTTGCACACCCAGTAAAACACGACTGGAGTCAGATCACAAGAGCATACTAACATCGGCAAATTAGATAGCCTTTAGATCAGACGTAATTTTGGCCAGCAAGTGCTCAGTACATGTTTCTTCTTGGTGAAAAAAAATAGCCGCCATCTTCGGCAGCGGAAGGCTGGGGAGAGGAAAGAGGCAGGGGCCGGACCCCGCCTCCTAGCCACACCATCTACTTTAACTCTAAATCAAACATGGCCCGTCAAATAAATGATTGCGAGCATGTAACATTAACTCGCCCCAGAAAAACGGCAACACGACTGGCTACCAATTAGAATATAAAAAAATATCTCAAAGAACCAGTGAGCACTCAAGTGAAGAGAGGTGACGTGTGTGGAGGGCGGGAAAATTCGTGTGACGTTGTCTTGATTGGTTCCAGTTTTGCATCTGATTGGATGAAAGGTTGACTGAGTCCTGTGGACCAATTAAAGAAGGAAATCAAACCAATTTAATCAATGCACTCAAAAAATTGCTCCTAACAGATCATTTAAGCAGGTTTGTTGGTTGATCTTGAACTCAGTTTAATTTGTCCCATTTTCGTTGGTTTAGTTCGCAGTTTACCCTCAGAGGAATATGTAGCAACCGTAGACGACAGAAACACCGGAAGCATCACGTGCCTATCATGCACGCAGACAGCACGCGATCACGTGACCCTTCACAGGATGTGCACGGGAGGAGTGGAGCTGAAACTTTGGGATCAGTTGCCGAGTTCAAAGGTCAAGAAACGATCGAGGTAGATGAAGATTTCTTTTCCCGCAACATTTCTTTCAATTTTACTCTCTCTCAGCATTAGTCGGGAGACAAACGAGTTTTCAAATGGCAAAAAATGTTTAACTCCGGATCTCGCCTTGGTGCATGTAGCTGACAGAAGTCATAATGCGTACCTTCAGTCGCGCTTTATCTTCGGTTTTATTTTGATCCTTTTCAAGATTAATTAGCATCGAAGCAGTAACCGAAATCGTGAGATTTGAGGAATTAATTTATGTGAATGCCTTTTCGAATTGACGCTCACTCCCTAAATGACTGTCTCATCAAAGGAAACAACGATTACACCCATAAGCCTTTTAACCCTTTGACCCCTAAGTGACCAGCATCAAGTTTCTCCTTACAATATCACCCATGAATCAAACATCAAGGTCACGAGTATTAAGTATGTGATCACCAGTTAAAAAAGTTCTTGATTGTTAAACAAATTCTCCTTGTCAGCACGTTAGGAAAATTTATAGAGAACAGTGTGGAGAATATGCATACTTATTTTGGGGTGGAGAGGGTTGAAGGAAAAAAGCCGTAAGGGGGAATTTTGATCAAAACAGCAAACGAAGACAGGTGATATCATAAACCTCTCTATAGACGGTTCCCAAACTAACTTTAATCTGCTGAAGACAACCAACGACGATAGAAGTATTAGATTTTGGAACTATTAAAGTGATATACTTGTTGCTCAATGACAAACGGAACTAGCTCTCTATATCTGTGAGGAAAAGTTAACCAAATTTTCTCTTTTTTCACAGACCGGAAACAGAGGACTGCTACGTCACAGCTAAGCATATCCGGCGGTTCAGTTTCCCGGATTTTAGTGACACGGAGAGCAGCGAGGATGAGGACGACATACCGGCAGGCGACGAATCTGATGACGACGATGACGTCAGCACGACCGGAAGTTCGTCACGATCTTGGTGCACAATATCCTAGGCAAAAAACTAGGTGTAGCAGACATCAAATATCATGATGCATTTCGCACGTGCAAACGAGTACAGCCGGCTGGGGCGTCCTCCGCCCAAAGATAATGGATATGTCAGTTGAATGAATCGAGGCATTCTTGCGATCGTCGAGAGGCAGTTTTGATCTACAAATGTCTCTCAAGGCTCTACCTTGCGTGGTGTTAGGATACGCAGTGATAAATGGGAGAATTTTAAGGAAATAAGGAATGATCGACCTTGGATGAAAGGTTTTCAATATCCAAAATTGCTCAGTTTTTACTTATATTTCTTGTTTTCCATGGTATTTTAACACACAAACAATAGACGTTACAGTCGTACCGTTGTTGTGGAAGCTATTCATCATGGGATGGTACTAACTTTTTATTCGCTGTCTTTTTTGGACAGACAAATGTTATAAACGCCAAGTGTTTTTTATTGAGTGTCTCTATCTTGTTACACTATTTGAACTTGAATTACACTGGGGTGAATTCTAAAAGGAGTTAGTAAGAGTAAGTGGTTGGGGTGTGCTCTGTAGATCATAAAATGACGTCACATGTAACGTCACGCTCAGAAATCCTCGCTATGTCAAGAAAAAAATTGTTAGTCACTCGGAAATTTTATCCTCAACTTCTCCAAATCTTCCTACGTTAACAGTCACTATGGCGGCACAAAATTGCTTTATTTGTTGAAAACTTACCAATGCTTTTTAAAAACAAAATAGAGTACAAGGCTCGCTCTTTCCAGTTAAAGTCAATACAAGACAGTTGTTTTACCTCAAGGAAGCAGTAACAGGGACCGCGCAGAGGGAGGGGCTAAGGGAGCTTTAGCCCCCCCCCCCACTTTTTTGCAAACATAAAAATAAATTAAATAAAAAATATCCTAACAAAAATAGAGCCCAAAATAGCCCCCCCCCCCCTCCCCCCTATTTCAAAACTTGCTGCGCGGTCCCTGAGTAATGGAGGTTCGCCTCGAAGCACGCGATTTTTTTATGCTTCACAACTGCATTAAAGAATACACTTTGATACTCCTTCACGTTGAAAACGACAGAGAGCAAACGGCAAAATGAAAATTGGCGGGAAAAACTTGTTACGTGATCATCTTTGTTGTTTCCTCTTTAGCGTAAAGGTCATGCTTTACCTATCTTATATAAAATGTCTTTCTCGCCTGACAGGGTTACCCGCGATGAGTTAGCCATTTCCTTGTAAACGGTTAGTTGAATTTTTCAGAGAATGAGTGAAAAGTTAGAGTAATTTGGCAGGAGGGTTGTCTAGTGGAATGGGGCTAATTGATCACAGAGTTAACCAAATCCACTAACTGACATCATCCCATCCGAGTCCAGCGTCTACCAATGTTCTACTCTCTTGGTTATCGAGAGAAGAGTCCACACAGAGACTGTGGTTTACTCCACAATACACAACTTGCCTTTATTGTTTCCTTTTGAATGACTGACAATTAAATTGCCTATCAGTTGGTGCAATATATTTAGATCTGCTAAATAGCCGAATATTATGGTGGTAAAGATCTCAGTAAGGTATGCTGAGCTTTTTAAAGATCCCCCCTAGAACGTGAAAGCATATCATTAAAACGCGAGCACCTGGGTTTGATTCTAAACGCTACTAAGTTTAAAAATCAAAAAAGCTAATGAGAGTGATCTAAATACTTCTTTAAAAAATCATTTTAAAATTGAATAAACGCTATTACGTTAAGCATAATTCAGAATTAACTCCTACATAGAATACACATGAAATGTCTATAACTAATTAGGTCTTATATTCTACCGATTGCAACCGGGCATGACGATAATATTTTGAATTCCAAGCAAAATTGAAAGAAACCCCAAGCTAGATAATAATTTCTTGAAAAGGCTAAGTAATAAAAGCATTCCATTCAGCTACATTTTCCCGTCCTTTTGGGGAGATCCCTGTTTTATGCGCAGAAGTTTATCCAGGACGTCTTGTGTACGTGGCAGCGCATTCTTCAAAGCCAAGGACTGGTTCCTACACAGGGTGCGCTTGTCCCGGATGTCCTTCCTTTCCTTCAAGAACTCAACCAAGTTTTCTTTCTCCAGAGCGCGGTCAAGATCATCTACCAGCTGTGAGACGAAAAAATGCAGGATGCAGCGGGGAACTGTGTCACACACATTCATTTTAAGCACGTTGAAACATCGCACCACGTTCCTTTTGACGTTCTTTGTTTCCTCCTGCAGCTGTTCCTAAGAAAAAGAACGATAATGCTTCCCTCAGAAAATTTGCCTGTGTACCTGAGTACTCTTGGTGTCAATCGGAAACATTCCTAACAGTTAGAAAAAGTTGGTGTTCATTTCACTCTCTGGTGACGGGACACCTACATCATATCATCACCCGTTACCAAACCTGACTCGCTACCTTGCTGAACGCCATTAAGACAGCAAATGTCTTGGAACATACTCCAATTTACGTGCACTGAACTCACAAGAAATAGCGTCATTTAAAAATAAAAAATTAAAGGAAGCTGTTACATTCTGTTTGCCCAAGGTGTGGACCAAAGACAAATATCACCCTCTAACGAAACTTCGAACTCAATCCCATCATGCTCAAGGTCACGGGCTTGGTTCAACGCAAGTAACAACATACAAAAATACCTTGTTTGTGTATTCAACACAAAAGTCCTGCATAATGTTCAACCGCAACAATCGTTACCCGACATGCTAATGTGTTTTTAAAAAGAATGGACGTAACTCTGGCTTGAGAGGCTTTCCATCATGCAAGTTACCCCTGAAAATTATTTGTTCTCACCTTATACATATATATGCTTGGGCTAGAACCTTCAATCTCATTTAGCAGCTTCTCGGGGTATAGATTTTTCGCGAGATACTTCATGTGAGAAGTCGTCTTTGACATCATGCATGGATGAAGCTTGGAGGGATCTTTAAAGGGGACCGCTTCCCAGGTGTTTATCTCAGTAGGTGTGGGGATTGGGGCGAAAACGATATCGGTGCTCTTTTTCTGCATCTCTAAGAACTGTAGGATAAATTCCATGGTCTGTTCGCGTTTCTTTTCAAAAATCTTGCTGACAACTTTCGCTTCAACTGCTTGTTTGAGTGTTGGAAACTTCGACAAGGTTTCTTCGATGGCCTTTTGTACAACATCTCGCAAAGTTGCCTCGACATTGCTGACAAGTTTCTCTGACAGGGGTAGCAACCTATCAACTGGGCTCAGAAGCGTGACTGGTTTACCATTGGCTTGTACTCCTATCGAAAAAACAGAAAAGTGATTGACTGCATCGTTCCATTGAAAAAAGTCTAAGAACTTTCCTTTATAACATCTATATTAAGGGGGCATTATTTCAGAGCCAAAGGTGTACCCTTAAGGGAGGGGCCAAGGTATAACCTTTCTTCCGCTGAACTTTATTGAAAGTACATCTCTAATAAAGGGACGCTTTTCCTAGATCTGATACTGTGACCTGAATTGAGCGTCCACTGAGTAATCTATCTACTTGTTATCTTCACTGAAGGAAAAACTACATTCAAGTCCCAATAGTGTACCCAGAGGGAAGGTTTTACTTTAAAACCCAGAACACTTTCGACATTCAATTGACAATTGCTCTATCCGAAAATAACTTGTAAGGGATTCATTTATGTAAAGAAGGTTTTCTATGAGGTTTTTAGCCTCCTACCCTGACATTATCCAAATTAGCTTTACCAGAAACAAATGTTTTGTTCAATAAAATTTAAGAAGCTCTTAGTTCATACCTGTATACTGCTCATAAAGAAGCCTCTGCAGCAGCTGACTGTTTTCACTGCTGTCTCCAAGAGGAGCAGCTACGCCCTCCAACTTTCTTTGTTGTCTTCGTATTTCATCGTCATTACGCATCTCCAAGGGATTCACCTGTGACAAATTTTATTTAAAAAACAATTGAATGCTGGGATCGTTCTAACTGCTCTGCACTATATGTATGCCAATCGTAAAAGTCCTGCTAAGCGATGTAAAAGAAGATGTTTGACCAAGTAGTTCTTTCTTCACCTACAAGTATAATTCACGAAAAAGTATAACTTGGAAAGCTAAAAAAAAAAGAATTGAATGCTGGGATTGTTCTAAATGCTTTATACTAAAATAATTATTATTATCATTATTTAGAATGACTTAAATTTCCGCTACATATCGTTCTTTACGAAAAATTTTCGCCCAACACTTTGTGATAAGTGACTACTCATCTATACCTCGACACTACAGACTATAACCCAAAAACAATCACCTTGAAAACTTCTCGATGGAATGAATTAAACAGCTGCCTGACGCGTTCCCCTCCAGCTGTGTTAGAAGTATTGTTGAAAAGAAGTTTATTTAACTCTCTGATTAGATTTTCTTTCAGTTTCATGGCCACTCCGCCCTTGCCTTCGCTCGACTCTGGTACCTCACACCTCTCTAGTTCTACCAGTGTATCATCCACCTTATTGGATCGAAAAATTGTGATATTAAATTGAGACACGAAACTAGACAATATTGTCATATTCGTGTTGCTTACATAATGCACACGTTATCATTCATCAAGTGGTTACGGAGCGATTATACCAATCACTAAATACAATGGAGAAAACCCAGTGAAGTTTAGGATTAATATCGACACCCGATAGCAAATTTTGCCTTGAGACCCTGAGTACTGGTCCGAGTGAGGCTCGAGCGGTCATTCGTTGATTTCCAGTGGTCTCCCAAAAGTGCTAACCTGGCAATGATAAAATAATCTCTTCTTACAAACGATTTCCTTACTTCTTTTTCTCGCCTCTTCATTTGTGTCACCAGATTAGGAATCTCTGTGATCATCTTCTCAGCCAGTAAAGAGATCATGGTGGCCATGAGTCGATCAATTCCACAAACATGTTGAATGTCCTTGTACTGAGGATGCCGCGCAAACCATAGTTTTTCTTGGACACGTGTCGTTTCAGCGTCCCAGTCCTTCTCAGCTGGATCTGTGCCATCTTTCCCTTAATGTTATATTGAAAAGAAAGCCGAAGGCTATAGGCTATTTTACCTATAACATCCCTACATGTCTTCGAACTAAATTAGACCTGAATCACACGAAATACATTCCTGTTCAGTGGTTCAAGTTTTCCCGCTCTCTTTACGTGTAGAAAGAAATCATGTATTTCTTTCGTTTTAACTCACTTCACGCGGGGATTGGTTACAAAAAAAATATATCGAGCCTCACCCTCGATCAATCAAATGCCAGACTATACCAATCGTGACTCCTTTGTCTCTCGTATTTTCCACTCTTCACGGTATTTATACGTGTTTACCCTTATTCTTATTGCAGGGGTTTTAATAAAAGCCAGTTAAAACTGGCGGTCTTCCCCTCCCCCCCCTTGTTCAGCTTGCGATCGAGCTCTCGTGTCTAGGTTTCATCTTACAGCACAGCCGCCCATCAAACCATCGCCGCTTATGGAAAAATTACTCCAAACCCCTGCATTAGCTCTGATATTCTCTGATATTTCCCTCACTATCACTAAGCGATGTGACTGCTTTAGCTATGCTTTTGCGACCCTCAGTAGGAGAACGTTTTAAATAATACCTTACAAGTCCCTAACTACTGGTGTAAGTTAAGCTATCGACTCGTTTCAAAGTTAAACAAACTGACAAACATATTTTACCTCGCAGAACAATAAATCGGTTATCATCCAGTGTGAAGCTGGATCCATTCATGGCCACCTTTTTCCCCATGTCATCGGATTCTCTCAACTTATCTGGTTTGGTAAGCGCACAGATTGTGCGGCTCCTAAAATCTGAGGCCTTTTGCATAACAAGGTTTATTGCACTGTCACCTGTGGGGTCCCCTACTTCGGAAACTATGACGATAATGCTGTTAGTGTTTTTCTCGATGTATTCCAAAACTAGATCTTGAGTCACGATGTTCATGCGTGGATCGTCGTTGGCGAAATGAGCGCCGGGAAGGTCCACCAAGGTAAGAGTCGTGAATTCGGGACCTGGGGAAGAAGAAAGTACGAAGTCAAAATAATTTGAACAGTGCAAGATAAGTTTAAATTTCAGACTGAACTTGGAACTTCTATAGAGCTGAATGAAGGAATTTTCAAGACTGGCAGGAAACAAACAGCAGTGAAAAAAAGTTTCTCTTATTTCATGTTCACTCAATACGAACTGCTACCTGCTACAGTAAAAGGATGCTTAAATTACATTGATACGTGAAATCTGAATTCTAGTTAAATTAATCTCACCTTGCAGAGTAACATTAACAGGAGTTTTCGAAATTAGAGTTCCCTCTTCCTTCGCTAAATTTTCTGTGACTTTGTTAAGAAATTCCTCCACGGCATCATCCTTTGGATTTTCCTCAGCCCTCCAAAGACCATTTAGATCGCATCTAACCTCCACGAGGCTCTTCTCGGCGTTTCTTATGTTGAGTATTATGGGACATGTAGTGCGGGCCTGTAAGGTGTTTGCGGTTTCATTGCGGCGCATTGGGAGAAGATTTCGCCCAATCAGACGGTTTATCAGAGTGGTTTTTCCCATGTTTTGCCGACCGACCACGACCAGATGTGGAATGTTGAAGGCTTGGCGTAAAGTGTCGTCACTTATCAAAGTTTGAATAAAGTCAAGAACAACACCAAACTCAGTAGTTCGGCCATATTTCGCAACAGGTGTTTCGGTGACTTCACTAGACATGGTTTACTATCTGCAATGATGAAAAAGACCATTGAGGGGTCAGTCCCTATCTATCCTATCATTGTCACAATGGCCGCGAACTGAAAGAATCGTTGTATTTGACGTTGATGTTGGGGTAAAAAACAAATCGTTCACTCGGCTGCGCCTTGTGAGTCCATAACAGTTTGATTACTGCGACGACGAATATCATAGTGCATTATTAGGCAACCCTTGTGGTAAAATTTCCAGACCACCTTAAATAAAGCTACAAATTTAAGGTTTGGTTTTCGACAACGAGCAACAGAAATATTTGTTCAAAAAATCCGACCTGCGAGCTTCCGTATTTTTTAGTCCATAACATACAAGAAATGTGTTTTACAAGAAAATTCATTACCTGACTCATGAATTCCGCGTTGAATTGTACGCAAAAAACAGGTTATGTAAGCTAATGAATTTTCCTTGAATCACATAATTGAATAAAAAAAGAAAAAGAGAAAACAGTAATAATATTGTTTGTTTTTACCCTGACCGCGCGCCCCAGAAAGCCATTTCAAAGACAACTGTCATATTTGTCATTGCGTTGGCGAATAGGAAGCAAGGTCAGTCGTACATGTTTGAATCTTCGATAACATTATTTGTACCTTATGCTTGTTTTCACATTTTTTTTTCAAACGTTTTAAACAAGCTTCACACTATCTTAAGGATAATAGTGGTATTTCACTGAATTTACGAGCCGTTTATCTTTAACATCTTTTTTCAAATTTCCAAATCGTTTGCTCGAGAAGGAAAATAATTTACACTTTTTACCTCTTTGGTGGCAAAACTGAAAGAAATGAAGTGTCCAAGCGAAAGCACTGATAGTTTAACATCGCGATTAAAGGTATTTATTTCTTCTTCTGTATATATGACAATCGACCCTGGCACTCCTTCCGTTGCCGCTTATTCGTCTTATTTGGTTGAACTTTCGCTTGCCATTTTCTGGGCCTTGTTCGCAGGATTTTCTCGCTTTCTCGTTTTCGCGAGCGAAAGAGGTTTTTTAATGCCTCTCCACGAAGTTGTAGTTCATTTCAAAACAGGATAGAGCCTCTGGCTCACTTTGAAATACGCTTCTGCTTGTTGTGGCTCTTCAAAAGGTGACAATGGTTTTGAAAACACTTTGAAATAACTTTGTAGAAAACTGTTATAATTTAACGATAGTTATGTCTACGTAGATGCGAGACAATATCACTTAGCCTCGTTTTCAGCTCGCAATTCCATGCAAAATACTTCGCTTCGTTGACCAATGCGAGAATGCGAGATTCTATTTAATTATGCGATTCAATTGTGCACGATCAACGAGGTCTCACACTAGCGCATTTCAAAAGATTTTACTCAGTTAACCTTTGTTGTTGGTTTACTCCCTCTGTTTCTTAATTAACACTTGGGTGACCCAAACGGGGAAAAAAATCACCGGACTAAAATCAACATTGGAATATGATTATTCCGATTCAATCTTCACACATCCGCTATACTTGAAGGAGGTGGTGAAACTATTTCGGAAAGAGGAAACAGATGATTTTCTTACTCAAATAACTCTGTTTAATCCGAGGGCAACGTTGTCATCGTTTTAATTATTAATTCCTTAATTAATCCGCGTAAAGAAAACAATCTTTTTCATCGTCTTTATCCAGGCGCAGACCCAAGTGCAAAATGCGCCAATTATATTTACCGCAGAGGAAACTAAATCTTAAGCTAGATTTGCTTATAGTTGGGCGAAAATTTACTAATAGTATATAACAATGTGGAAAACTGTGAACGATTGCCTTCATAAGCGTCATGTTGTTCGAAGTCTTCAAAACTGAATTGTCAAACAACTGTGAAATTGAGACACAGTCTCAGTCAGGCGGTCCGGCAGAAGCCATTGGAGGTAAGGTTGGCGGAAGGTAATGGAAGTATCGAATTTCAACATTGATCGGTCTTTCGTGGTTCAGAAGTTCTTATCAAGCTGTAATGGAATCTATGTATACTAACAATTTCTGGCCATTATGAAAGAATCTTTTCAACCGTCGTTCTGCTGAAAACATCACCGTATGATTCAATTTTCGCAATGTAAACAAGCGCAATTGTTCATAAACAGAAGCTACGGTTCTGACATCTGTTTGAGATTTAATTTTGCAATGGTTTGACAATTCAGTTATGACGCTTGAAAAGTTGTGCCCATTGTTAAATATCGTCAGTAAATTTTTGCCCAACTATAAGCAAATGTAGCTTAAGATTTAGTTCCTCTGCGGTAAATTTTAGTTTGCGCTTTTTAGACTTGTATCTGCGCCTGCATATACACAGTAAAAAAGAATATGTTTTCTTTACGCGGAATTACTAACTAAAACGATGATAACGTTGCCCTCAGATTGAGGTCAGTTATAAGCTTAAGTTTTAGTTCCCTCCGCGGTAAATTTAATCGGCGCATTTTGCACTTAGGTTACCGTCAGATTGAAGTGAGTTACATGTTAAATAAAATTATCGGTTTCGTCTTTCCGAAATAGATTCACCACCTCTTTCATTTAAAAATTTCAATCAAATGTAAGAACCGTAGCTTCTCTTTATGAACAAGTGTGCTTGTTTACATGCGGAAGTTGAATCATACGGATAATATTTTCAGCACAACGACGGCTGAGAAGATTCCTATTTTAATGGCCAGACATTGTTAGTATACGTTGATTCCATGATAGCTTGATAAGCACTTCGGAACCACGAAAGACCGATCAATGTTGAAATTTGATACCTTCGAAGATGATTCATGGATGAGAAGGGCGACGAATTGCTTTAACTTGGTTTAACTGGAAAGACTTAAACACTCATTGCAATTGCCAAAGACCAGCTGCCTAAGCTCTGATATACACTCGCATTTGAAACAATTTGTGGTATTTTACATTATGGGTGACTAAAAACCGTAATCAATTATGAAAAACTTTTATCAGTTAGTTGCCTTACCTCTCGATACGCGTTAAAATCTCCGCGACACGTATAAACTGCTCTAAGGTTGAACCGTGCGAAATCGTCAGTTTCCTGCCGGGGAACACCTTGATTTAAGTGAACGAATAGGCTCTTTACAGGACTTCATCACGTGCTTGGATACCACATGGCAACGCACTGCTGGGAGCAAGCAAACCACAGGCGGCCTAAGCTCCATCTGTATGATGATCATCTTGCGAAATTATAAGAATTTGAATGGGAATATTTACAACCGCTCTTAGAAATAAAAAAATACAGTCAAATTCTCAATTAAATACCTCACCTTACTTTCACAGAGCATCGCTTGCCATCTGACCACTTACTATGTTGAAAATAACCCATTTTAGCGAGTTATTCATTTCTAGGTTTACTACATAAGAGAAGGACAAAGCTACAGACTCTATTTCCGAACGCCCGATACGAGAAGCGAAAAATCTAAGCTCAAAATGATCGGACGGCCACAAATCCAACGCAAAACCCAAGCACATATATTGTAATTTCATTTCAATTTACGGTAAAATTTCCGCACAGCCCCATACTATTGTAAAACAAATCTGTTTTCCCAATGGCAATCTATATATTGTGAATGCATTGTAGTATGGGTCATTTCAATTTACTACCAATTCAATCCTCACCGTGAAACCGACGATAAGCCAAAGTTTGCTTCCAAAATTTCCAGTTTAGACGTTTCTAACGATCCGCGCACACATTCACCAAGACAATCGACTGTTGAAAACGAGCTTGGTAACCCTGCCTCCTTTGCATACTGAGCCTCGCCGGGGACCACATCATCACTTATCATCAACAAATTGTTTTAGAACCCCGGGTACAAAGTGACGGTGTGGTCCCTGACGAGATTCACTTAGCAAAGGAGGCAGGGTTACCAAGCTGGTTTACAATCGTGGTGAATGTGTACAGGTCGTTAGCGACGTCTAAACTGGAAATTTTGAAAGCAAACTTCGGTTTAGCGTCGGTTTCATGGGGAGGATTGAATTGGTAGCAAAATTGAAATAAAACTACAGTGTACGTGCTTGGATTCTGCGTTGGATTTATGACTACCCGGTCATTTTGAGCTTAGATTTTTGGCTTTGCAGCCTTGTCTTTCTCTTAAGAGTAGGAAACTTAGAAATGGATAACTCACTAAAATGGGTTCTTTCCAACATAGAAAGCGGTCAGACAACAAGCAATGCTGGACTCAACCAGGAGGAGGGTTGTCCATGGTTAATTCGCCCCATAGAAATTTGCCCTTACCGCCTTTCTTTTTTTTTATATTTTATTGTGTTTTTCCGTTTCACATTAAAAAAAAAAAAAAAAAAAAATTACAGCAGTATAAAGTAAATAAAATTGTACAAGGTCAGTAAATAAATAAATAAATAAATAAATAAACAAAAATATTAATACAAGGCTACCCAAAGTAAAGTTATTTCACTGAGTGATTGTAAAAGTTTTTCCCATTTCATTAAGTGCAGGTTTAGTTTTTTCTTTTCTTTAGCTAGGTACACGCCTTTCGCGTGTTTGCCCCCTAACGCAAAAAACAACGCCTTTACTAGTTTACCTTGAAATCTTTCGACTCGTTTCCTTACCGCAGAACGTAATCCAGCTCCAATGTAAAAATGTACGGCCTCTAAGCAAACGATGGAAAGCTTTATTTTAATAAATCTTCCCAAAAAAGTTCCTCATAGAGCTTTTCATCAATTTAATTTGCTTTAAAAAGCAAAATAGTGATATTGCTTAAACTCAGCTTGATTTTAAACCAATATTATGGCATTTAGACGCTTCTGAATTGTACACATCCGCTCAAACTTTTTGATCGAACAATTATAAAACGAAAATCACGTCTAGCCACGGTAATTTTAAAGGTAGTGTCTTCAATGGGGCACTTGTGGGGGAAAAACTCCTATGTCCAAAAGTTAAAACAGGTATTTAATTTCAAGAACCTAAGTTACGAGAAAACAAACACCCACCCCTGTTAAGACGCTCCATGTTTTACCCTCAGAGGTTGGAGATCTTGGTCACGAGGCCTTCACATGAGGCATCGTAAACACAGAGGACGCTGGTAAAAGCTTCTCTCATTTCAAAATTTCGCGGAAAACCTGGTAAAGTAGATAGGTGGTTAAAACCCAACGCTATCTTACACCATTCTATCTTAGTCCAACGTCTACCAATGATCTACTCTCTCAGTTATTGGAGAGAAGAGTCCACACAGAGACTATCGTTTACTCCACAATGCACAACTTGCCTTTATTGTTTCTTTTTGAATGACTGACAATTAAATTGCCTTTCAGTTGGTGCAATACATTTAGATCTCCTAAATTTCCAACTATTATAATGGCAGGTGAAGATCTCAGGACGCTGTGTTGAGCTTTTTAAAGATCCCCTCAGAGCGTGAGATAATATGATTAAAATTAAAAGAGCACCTGGGTTTGATTCTAAACGCTACTAAGTTTAAAAATCAAAGAGCTAAAAGGGACGAGTTTAATACTTCTTCAAAAAATCATTGAAAAAAGTAACCCAAGATCTGTTGCTGTGTGCTGATCACTAGAACTTATATAAAAAAAAATTTAAAAATTTCAATAACGCTATTACGTTAAGCATAATTGAGAACTAACTCCTACAACTTGAATACACATGAAATGTATATAACCAATTAAGTTTTTAAATTCTACCGATTGCAGCCGGGTATGACGATAATTTCGAATTCCCAGCGAAAATTGAAAGAAACCCTAAGCTAGATAATTATTTCTTGAAAAGGCTAAGAAATGAAAGCATTCCATTCAGCTACATTCTCCGGTCCTTTTGGGGAGATCCCTGTTTCATGCGCAGTAGTTTATCCAGGACGTCTTGTGTATGTGGCAGCGCTTTCTCCAAAGCGAGGGACTGTTTCCTACACAGGATGCGCTTGTCCCGGATGTCCTTCCTTTCCTCCAAGAACTCAACCAAGTTTTCTTTCTCCAAAGCGCGGTCAAGATCATCCACTAACTGTGATACGAAGAAATGCAGGATGCAGCGGGGGACTGTGTCACACACATTCATTTTAAGCACGTTGAAGCATCGCACCACGTTCTTTTTTACATTCTTTATCTCATCGTGTTCCTAGGAAAAGAACGATAGAGCTTTCTATAGTGTCTCTCTAAATACCCTGCCACTTTGACCCCCCTCGTTTATATGTGTCGGGAGGCTTTTAAGATCGAGGCATAACACAATAGACGCTACTCTTATTCAATGACAAGGGATGCCCACATATTCTAATTTTGTGCGCAAAGCTTACAAGAAGTAGCGTTACTTTAAACTTAGCGCATAAAATAAATTTAAATGTTGTTTGTCCAGAGTAAGGACCGACGACAATATTCACCATCTATCGAAAATTCTGCCAAACCCATCCCCAACTGATAGGAGGCTTCAACCCACGCATTAGCACGCTGCTACAATGTCAGTTTAAAAACTTTTATATCATAATCTTACCTTACAACAACCAGCAGTGGATCAGAAAGTGTCTAAGTAAGCAAGCGACTAGTAATTGGCCATTTAAATTTACTCTATTTAAAGAAACTGGACTTAAGCTCGAGAGGCTTTCTATAATCGCGAAACTTATCACCATGCTGTTTTCTGTGCGAATTAATTACCTTCGAGTGTTGGTACGTTTCATCAGTTATTTTGTGTACTTATGGTGCTGTTTGTACCGTTGCGTAATGTTACGTAATTACGTCGAGTAATTTGTAAGTTTTGTGTATAAATTAATTCATAGGGATCAATGTTTACGTCCACTTTTCAAGAAGCAGCGTTATCGTTTTCGTTTTTCGCCAATAAAGCTATGCACCGTTATGGTAAATATTTCTCTTTATTGTGAGTTTATTTGTAACTTTCCGTTCTCTAAAATGTATTTTCCTACTCGTGTTTAGTACCGTAGGCGTATGGATGTTTTAAATAAAATGATGAACACGATTACGCATGACTTCGGTTACAGTTTCCATCATGCAAATTACCCTAAACGTTCTCAGTTCTCACCTTATACATGAGACTGTGTGACCCAGAACCGTCTATCTCTTGAAGCAGCTTCTCAGGGTAGAGATTTTTCGCAAGGTACTTCATATGACTTGTCGTCTTTGACGTCATGCATGGATGAGGCTTACTACGATCTACCAGAGGAAACCCTTCCCAGACGCTGATCTCTCGAGGTGTGGGGATTGGGGCGAAAACGATATCAGTGCTCTTTTTCTGCATTTCAAGGAATTGTCGGATGAATTCCGTGGTCTGTTCGCGTTTCTTGTCAAAAATCTTGCTGACAACTTTCGCTTCAACTGCTTGTTTGAGTGTTGGAAACTTCGACAAGGCTTGTTCGATGGCCTTTTGGACGATATCTCGCAGAGTTGCCTCGACATTTCTGACAAGATTCTCTGACAGGGGTAGCAACCTATCAACTGGGCTCAGAAGCGTGATTGGTTTACCATTGGCTTGTACTCCTATCGAAAAAACAGAAAAGTGATTGACTGCATCGTTCCATTGAAAAACAGTCTAAGAACTTGCTTTATGACACCTATATTAAGGGGACATTATTTCAGAACCAAAGGTATACCCTTGAGAGAGGGGCCAAGGTATGACTTTTCTTCCTCTAAAGTTTATTGAAAGTACACTTTAATTAAAGGGAAGCTTTTCCGAGCCCCGAAATGTAACCTGAAATGAGCATTCACTAAATAACCTTTAAACTTGTTATCTTCATTGAAGGGAAAACTCCATTCATGAGGCACTTTTTCAAGTCCCAATAGTGTACCCAGAGGGGAGGGTCTACTTTAAAACTTAGAACACTTTCGACACTCATTGAAAATTGCACTATCCGGAAACGGGACGAAAATAACTCTATGAAAGGAATATTTACTATGAGCTTTTCAGCCTCCTACCCTGAAATTTTCCAAATTAGCTTAACCAGAAACAAATGTTTTGTTACAGAAAGTTTAAGAAGCTCTTAGTTAATACCTGTATACTTCTCATACAGAAGCCTCTGCAGCAGCTGACTGTTTTCACTGCTGTCTCCAAGAGGGGCAGCCACGCCCTCCAATTTTCTTTGTTGTCTTCGTATTTCACCGTCATTACGCAACTCCAAAGGATCCACCTGTGACAAATTTTATCCAAAAAAAGGTGATAATAGCTCCCTTAGCCAATGCTTTAGTTCGGCATATCTCATGCCCAATTTCCCCTTTTGAAAGAGTTTTAGACCATGAATTCAATTTCTATTCATAGTTGGAGCTCTGGGAAAATTTAGGTTTTTTTTTGCTCTGTTCTTTGTTCCTGTGGTTAACAAAGATGTTTGACTCAAGTAGCTCTTACTACACCTGCAAGTATGATCGGAAAGGCTGAAAAAAGAAACAATTGAATGCTGGAGTCTTTCTGAGTGCTTTGTACTGTATTCATGCCGATCGTAAAAGTCGTGCTTTCAGTGATGTATAAGAAGATGTTTGACTAAGTAGTTCTTTCTTCACCTACAAGTATAATTCACGAACGAGTGTAACTTGGAAAGCTAAAATTAAAAACAATTGAATGCTAGGATTGTTCTAAGTGCTTTATTTTAAAATAATTATTATTATCGTTATTTAGAATAAGTTAAATTTCCCTTATATATCGTACTATAAGTAAAATTTTCGCCCATCACTTTGTGATAACTGACTACTCACCTATAACAAGACACTAAAGACTATAAGCCAAAGACACTCACCCTGAAAACTTCCTGGTGAAATGAATTAAACAGCTGCCTGACACGCTCCCCTCCAGCTGTGTTAGAAGTATTGTTGAAAAGAAGTTTATTTAACTCTCTTATTAGATTTTCTTTCAGTTTCATGGCCACTCCACCCTTGCCTTCGCTCGATTCTGGTACCTCGCTGTCCTCTAGTTCCTCAAGTATATCGTCCACCTTATTGGATCAAAAAGTTGTGATACTAAGACACGACACTATCATTATCACATTATCATTCATCAGGTGGTTACGGATCTAGGAGCGATAATGCCAATCACTAAACACAGAGGAAAAAAAAACCAGAGAAAATTTGGATTATTTTCGACAACCAATAAAATTTTCCCTTAAGACCGTGAGTCCTGGTCCGGGTGAGGCTCGAGCGGTCAGCTTTTTGCAAGAATTTTCAGTGGTCTCCCAATGGTGCTAGCCTGGCAGTAATCAAAAAATCCCTTCTAACAAACGATTTTGTAACCTCTTTTTTTCGCCTCCTCATTTGTGTCACCAGAATAGGAATTTCTGTGATCATCTTTTCAGCCAGTAAAGAGATCATGGTGTCCATGAGTCGATCAATTCCACAGACATGTTGAATGTCCTTGTACTGAGGATGCCGCGCAAACCATAGTTTTTCTTGAACACGAGTCGTTTCAGCGTCCCAGTCCTTCTCTTTTGGATCTGTGCCATCTTTCCCTGAATGTTATATTGAAGAAAAAGCTGAAGAAACGCCCATAAATTTTATCGAATTAAATTAGACCTGAATCACACAAAATACATTCCTGTCCAGTAGATCAAGTTTTCCCGGAGAAAGAAATCATGTATTTCTTTCGTTTCGTCTCACTGCCCTTCGAGCTGGATTGGTTACAAAAAACACACCCTCGATCAATCAGGTGCCAGACTACCAATCGTGACTCCTTGGTTTCTTGTGTTTTCCACTCTTCAGGTTATTACACGTGTTTGCCCTTTTTCTTATTGCAGGGGATATTGTGATATTTCCCTTGTCATCAGGAAGCGATGTGACTACTTTAGCTATGCTTTTGCGACCCTCAGTAGAAGAACGTTTTAACTAATACCTTACAAGTCCCTAACTACTGGTGTAAGCTAAGTTATGGACTCATTTCAAAGTGGAACAAACTGAACAATCATATTTTACCTCGCAGTACAATGAATCGGTTATCATCCAGTGTGAAGCTGGATCCATTCATGGCCACCCTTTTCCCCATGTCATCGGATTCTCTCAACTTATCTGGCTTGGTAAGCGCACAGATTGTGCGGCTCCTAAAATCTGGGGCCTTTTGCATGACAAGGTTTATTGCACTGTCACCTGTGGGGTCCCCTACTTCAGATACTATGACAATAATGCTGTTAGTGTTTTTCTCGATGTATTCCAAAACTAAATTTTGAGTGACGAGGTTCATGCGTGGATCGTCATTGGCAAAATGAGCGCCAGGAAGGTCGACCAAGGTAAGAGTCGTGAATTCGGGGCCTGGAGAAGAGGAAAGAGTACGAAGTCGAAATGATCTGAACAGTGCAAGATATATTAAGTTTAAATTTCAGAATGGACTTAGAACTTCTATAGAATTGAATGAAGGAATTTTCAAGACTGGCAGGAAACAAAAAGCAGTAAAAAAACTTCTCGTTTATTTCACATTCACTCAATGCGAACTGCTATCTGCTATGATAAAATGACCTTTACATGAGATCGATATGTGAAATCTGAATTCTAGTTAAATTAATATATCTTACCTTGCAGAGTAACATTAACAGGGGTTTTCGAAATTGGAGTTCCCTCTTCCTTCGGTAAATGTGCTGTGACTTGGTTAAGAAATGTCTCCACGGTATCATCCTCAGGATTCTCCACAGCCCCCCCAATACCCGGTATATCGCATTTAACCTCCACTAGGCTCCTCTTGCCGTTTCTTAGGTTGAGTATTATGGGATATGTAGTGCGGGCCTGTAAGGTGTTCGCGGTTTCATTGCGGCGCATTGGGAGAAGATATCGCCCGATCAGACGGTTTATCAGAGTGGTTTTTGCCATGTTTTGCCGACCGACCATGACCAGATGTGGAATGTTGAAGGCTTGGCGTAAAGTGTCGTTACTTATCATTCTTTGAATAAAGTCAAGAACGACGCCAAATTCACTACTTTGGCCATATTTTGCGACAGGTGTTTCGGTGACTTCACCAGACATGGTTTACTATCTGCAATGATGAAACAGACCATGGAGGAGTCAGTCCATATTTATCCCTGGGGGGTGAGGGAAAGGGGATATTTTGTGGGGTGACATATTTTTCAGGGGGCTCATAGGGGGATCGGTGTCGCCGCTGAGTATTTAAAGGGAAACCGTAGCAAATTAACCGCTAATTAACTGCTATAGAAGAGGGAGGGGACATATTCATAGTACAGAGCTTTATGGGGGGATCAGGTCAATGTTTTTTAACCACAATTAGCAGTAATGTCGCAATTTGATTGGCCAATTTGTCTTTGTCAAGTCAACGTGTCACGCAATGGTCGCGCACTGAAATAGTCGTCGATATTGTGGTAAGACACAAATCGTTCACTCGCCTGCGCCTAATGAGTCGGCAACATTTGACCGCTGTGAAGACGAATATCATTGTCGATAAGAGCTCAGACAGCGCTGAACCAATGTCTACAACTAATGATCAATCCCCAAACAATTAATACCAAAGTTTGAACAAAAAAGCGAAATTATAATGAATGATGAGGTAACACCGGTTTTTAAAATTAATATTGAGCAACAGATTAAAATTAACATTGTCCAACATATGTGTCTGATGTTTTCCGTATACGATGAACAAGGAATCACACCAGCGCATTTCAAATGATGTCACTCAGCTTACCTTTGCTGCCGGTTTTACACGCTTCAACTCTTAACAAAAATTCACCGGTTTAAAATTAACCGGATTAAAATTAACATTGAAATATGATTATTCTGATTCAATCTTCGCACACCGCTACACTTGAAGGAGGTGGTGAATCTATTTTGGAATATATGAAACCGATAATTTTCTTACACATGTAACTCAGACAGTTCTGACTAAGGGCAACGTTAGCATCGTTCTATTTATCAATTCCTTAATCAATCCACGTAAAGAAAACATAATCCGTTTTTACTGTACATGTCCAGGCGCAGACCGTAAGTGCAAAATGCCGGCCGGTTAAATTAACCGCCGACGGGACTGAAACTTAAGCTAGATTTGCTTACAGTCGAGCGTAAATTAACTAAAGGTATACAACAATGTGCACAACTGTGAACGATTGCCTTCTAAAGCGTCATGCTCTTCGAAGTCTTCAAAACAGAATCGTCAAATCATTGCGAAACGAAATCTCAAATAAATGTCAGAACCGAAGCTACTGGTATAGGCAAATGTGCTTGTTTACAGAGTGAAAGTTATAATTCGAAACCTTCGAAGAGGTTCACAGATGAGAAGGGCGAGTTGCTTTAACCTTGCTGAACTGGAAAGACAAAAACACTAATTGCAACCGTCATAGATCAACTGCCTAACTTCTGATAAACACTGGCAGTTGAAATTATTTGTGGTATTTTACAATATGGGTGACTAGAAACCGTAATCCATGATTTTATCAATTAGTAACCTTACCTGTCGATTCGCGTTAAAATCTCCGCGAACACGTACAAATTGCTTCAAGGTTGGACCGTGCGAAATAGTCTAAAAAATCGTCAGTTTTCTGCTGGGAAACACGTTGATTTAAATGAATGAATTGAAGTTTGAGCGAAGTCCTTCTTATAAGAAAGCTACCCGGAAACTGCTCTCTGCTTTCTCAGAAAACCATACGTGACTGCACAAATTTGCATGAAACTGAGGTAATTTTCGATCCGTCGGGAGGGTGGGTTTAGATATTTCACCTTCTGCGACCTCCTTCTCAGCGAAGACCTCTCCAACACGTCTCAATTGAAGTAAATTTTAGTTGAATAATGCTATCTCCTTTGAAAACGGAGAATATTTTCTCCATTTCTTGCCAAACAAACTGATATAATTTGTGGTATGTACATATTTGAATAAGTAACCGGAAATGGTGCGTTGCTTTCTAAGAAAGACGGACGTCATTAAGTTTGGTTATAAGAAATGTATATTATTTGTCGGTAATACAAGTTGATATTTATTTTCAAAACGAAACTCCCTCCTATAAGCCAATCAGATGTGTTCAACAGTTCCCAGCTGCTGTCATCTCACATTCGAATAGAGAAGAGACCAGGGAAAACCCCAGCGGTGTTTTCCCGGAACCAGGGCTTTTTTTATGAAATTGGAAATCGAACTCGCACAAATAACGTCATCTTTCTCGGCTAATATCATAGTTATAATTTAGCGATCTAGTGTAGAAACTACACCAAAACAAATAATACAAGTTGTTATACATTTTAAAAACGGCACTCCTTCCTAAAAGCCACTAGCCAATCAGATGAGTTAAACAGCTCCTAGCTGATATCCTCACACATTCTAGAGGAGAAGAGAAGAGGGAAACCCCAGCGGTATTTTCCCGGAATCAGAGCTTTTCTTAGTAACCGGAAATCGAGACCGTATAAATAACATCATCGATCGTACTTAGCAAATATCATAGTTATAATTCAGCGATCGAGAGTGGCAGCTACGTTAAAACAAGAGGAAAAAAAATTGGCACATTACTGTCTACAGTAAATCCAGGTGAAAGTAATTTGAATTTAACCCAGAAAATTTGTGTCTAGCCGACTGGATCTGAAAGCTCCGGCATCGACGCTCTCTACTGGAATAAACCGAAACCTCAAATAGCAAGGTAAGAGGTAATTCGAGACCCGTAATTCTGTGAATCACAGAGATAGGTGGTGAATATTTAGTTTAGCTAATTTCTTAACTCAGGTTTCAAAGTCAAAGTATTTATTTGAGTTGAACACAAGTTCGATGTTGTCATTACCTAATAATTAATTCATACAATGAGAAAAAACACGGCGATGTGAAGACACGCACTTTACATCTACGATCGAAGCTTTCCATCGGGCAGCAAAATAGATTTTAATTAGAAACGTTCCCTTTTTTAATCTCGGCTAAGCAATAAATGTAGGTGTCTTTTAAAAACAAATACCGACGAAGGATGAGATAGGCATAAGAATACAGCCTCGTAGACCGGAAGTGAAATGTTAGCTATCGTAGGTAAAAAGCCGAAAGTACAAAATTTACAGTTACGTGTAATTAATCAAACAGGAAACCGTACCTTTCTAGATTACACTAGTTAAGATTGGTGTAAAGCCAGTTATAAAAGCCGTGCAAAACAGGGCAGATTGCTATTGAAATAAAAACGAGAAAACTACACAGGTAGTTTTTATTTCCATTCATTTAAACAAATTTTAATCTTCACCAGAGTCTTTAATTTTCTAATTTTTTTTTCAGTTGAAGGAAGACAATCCTGCGTTGCTTTGTAAATCAGCTATAACGTCTAACATGGCTTCACGGGGTGATGGCGTTACACCGCAACTGAAATTGTCAGAATTTTGGCATGCAACCTTTGATCGCATCTTCCAGGTTTTCAGACCGGACGAGTGGACACTGGAGCCGACCGACAGAGGAATGCCAAGAGATTGGAGACAATTTAAGGATAGCGCCAAAGTCAAGTTTCTCTGTGATTGCGGAAACTCCTGGACGTCAATGATGGGAAGGATTATATTTTGGTACAAGAGGAGTGACGAGAAAAACAACAAGAAAGAATTGAAGACGGAAGAAGAAAAATGCACAAGTGACGAAGGACAAAAAGATGAACCGAAGGAGACAAACAAATGTAAGAAATTTATGTTTAAACGAAAGAAAATTTTGCTGATTAATTCGTTGAATCTATCATACAAACACACGAGTTTATAGTCTCTTGACAGACACTGTCACTTTGAGTTAATCCACTTTGAGTCCTTTTTAGATCAATTCCGTTCTTACATCAATTACTAGATTTAACCGATCCTGATTCAAGAATTTTGCTCAGGTGGACACCTCAGGCAATGTCCATTTCCTCCAGAATATTCTAGGGGTAGCGAGACACATAAAACGTACTTTCCCTTTATCCGATAAAAACGAGGAAAAACTAAGAAACGAGGGGCTTAAGAAAAGATACGTGGTTTAAATTATTTAGTTTAAGAGGCTAAAAGAAGCGCTTTGCAGTAGATTGGTTGATGTCAAAGTGCGCTGGAAGTAGTAGAGGCTTTCAGGTCGCCATTCGCTTGTCAAAAACATCTGTGTTTAGTTTCCCTTACAACATAAAGGGATGACTTATGAAGGAAGACCTCAACTGGGATTCAGTTGTTGAAACAATATGTTAGGCATGAGAATTCTTTCTCTCTTGGTAAATCTATTCATTCTTTTTACGATGCATTATTGACAAAAAATGAACTTTTTTTTTCCTTCTTAGACTCCTTGAGGTTCAGGCTGTACGGTCAGCAGTGCAAAATGTGTGAAAATGGGTTATTCATCAATCCGCAGTGGTACGAGGACGAGGTCAAAAGAGTTCTGCAAAACGTTCATAAAAAGATAGGAAAGGTAATTTTGACTCTAAGAAGAGTATTTACTTCAAATTAAAACAGCAAAAGTCACTTTTTCGGATACCTTGTGTATTCCATACTCATGAATACCACATTCAAATACCACGCTTACACTGCCGCTGGAACATAGCCTCACAGGCCTACAGACAGGTTATCGTGAAAGAACCATAAACCCTGCTTTGCTCAGACAAAACGTCCCATTTTTATAAGAGTGATGTGTCTAAGAATAAGCCTTGGGTAAAATTTGTACAGTTCTCCAAACAGTCAGCAGGAAGTTACACACTGATTTACATCAGGTTTTCATTTGACGCATTCAATAAATTGTCACTAAGGTGATAGTAAAATTCAAAAAAGGTTAGTGGTGTATGTACACAAATCACTTGTTCTAACTGTTATATCGGCCTTCTGAATAAAACTGGACATCTCTTTAGATCATCAATGAAATAGAGCACTTTTCAATCGAGAAAGGAAACTAAATCACCGGTGCATTTGGTTTCCACGCTGTGTTTATGGTATAAAAAACTCACGCCATCTTCAAAGCTAATCGTACTCAAAACTCAAACCGACTACACCAGGCAGTTTTCTCTCTTTCAGTCTACTTACTTGTGGCTCAATGTAATAATTTGATATGGGCCGTTGGGATCGCATCGGTTTTGCTTGCGTCACTCTTAATAAAATTGTACTGTATGTAGTAAAAATGATCCTCTCTTCGTTTTTCAGGATTTCTACGAGTTTCCACAAGAAGACCCCAACAATAGAAAAAGACACGGAAGAATGCGCCAGTCACATGACTCCAGACGCTGTCAAGCATGCCAAGAGGGGCAATGTAACAGCTGAATCACTAAAAATTGAATTTATTGAAACACCAATTAAAAATAGTTCATTTCAAAATGTTATTATGGAATTGTACCTCCGTGCTGTGTTCTGCTTCCTAAATTTATGACGCGAGAAAAGAAATCTGGTGCGCAAAAGCTTCGGCTTGATCACTACACGCTGTTAGGTAACTGAGCCCGCACTCCTTCCCCAGAAGACAATCGAGGACTGGACACGAGAAAACTGTAAAAATCGAGCCTGGCAATAACTTTTCGAGAAAGACTGGTCTTAGTCAGACCCACCTACCTCCTAGGTAATTTTTCCACGGAAAAGGTAACACTCATTCGCTTTCCATTATCAGTGTAGAGAATAGAGATCTCGCTAAGAACAAAGAGATGGTTATTGCCGTCTACATTATGTGAGATGGAAAAGAATGATTCTATCAACTAGTAGATGTGAGACCATAACTGACCATGCAATAATTATCATGATTATCATCAATTTCATTATTATCTTCATTGTCATTATTACCTAGTCTCGTACCCAGACCTTTCACGGCCAAGCGATCTTAAGCATCTCAGTAACAGTTACAGTTACAGGTAGGATCTGGGTACGAGATTAATTATCATCATCATCATCTGTTATAAAAAATAAAGTCAGGTGACTTTTTGATAAGGACAGTAATGCTGATTCGCTAATTCAGCCGCTTTCGTGTGTTGCGCTCGAAATCTGGGTTTATTCAGGGATAAAGACTAAACTTTGTTTGCTTGCGGGAATGAAAGGAATGTATCTTATGTCAAGTTGTAGATTTCACTATATCTTTCATAAAATTATCTTGAAATAATTGCATCAGTAAAGACTCGCGCATATAGAAGCATAAATTCAAAGGTGTGGCTAAAAAGTATCCTCTTTCGGTTTCCGGATAGTTCACGACCTAGAGTTAAGTTCGTTATGGCTCCTTAACTTAGTGCAGTGGTTACTTGGCAGTCTCTTTCGCGCCAGTTCAATTATACGTTCATTTTTTGCCTTGTTCGTACCCTTTGGATAGGCCATCGTATTAAGCTCTACAGGATACGCGTTTCTCTGCCCGCAGGAAGATTTGAGAAGGTTGGTATGCCTGTAGTCTGGCCGGTAGGCTCCTTGTAAACCTCTCACCAGCTCGCGTTGCTCAAGTCCTCATACTTTCCCGCGGTCGCAGAACCCCTCGTGCCGAACGGCTTATAAAAGGCCTACTCGAAGGGTATCTACTTTGCTCGTTCTTTCGCTCACTCGTCTGATTTCATGTTTCCTACCTGTCTCGTTTGCAACAGAACAAAAGCTGTTTTATCCCTTTTCGTATATCTCTTGACCAAAAGGCGTAAATTGCAGGATTAACAGTGGGTAAAGTGTAAACAACGTACAGGAATATGGTGAAAACTTTTGGATTTATCTGTATTCCTTCCTGAAACTTCCACAGCGTAAGGGTCACGAAGAATGGAAGCCAGCTGACCAGGAAGGCACCAGCGATGATCACCAACATTTTGGCAGCTTTTAACTGTCTTTTGAAATTTGATATCTGAATTCTTCTCACACTACCGCCGGTGCCAGTGCGTGAGGCAGACTCTTCGCTCGTACCAGGCTTCACTCGGTTGGCGTGGTTCCGAGCGATTTGATAGATTTTAAAATATACGGCCGACATGGTTCCAAACGGGATTATGAAGATAAAAAATCCATTCTAAAGTCATGTACATCTTCTCAAAAGTGGGCTTTTGTCGTAGGACTCCACTTCACCGCAAATAACGTTATGAGGTCGTCAAATCAACGATGGGGAAGCGAGAACGATTGCAAAGATCCATATTACTGGAATGGAAATATATATTTTAGTTTTGTCAACAAAGTTTGGATACTGGACTGGCCGCGTAATGGCGAACTGTCGATATCTCGCTTTACTGTTCCTTTTTATCAATTACTAGTGGAACTCTTTTCTCTGCATATGAATGTTGGAATTTGAGCCGTACAATTCAAAAAAGAAGAAATGTATCCCTGAAATTGCCGCGAACATGAAAGCATTAATTTCCGCTCTTATCGTGCGCCGTGATTTCCTCAAAGACAACGGCACGCAAAGAAATAATCTGATAGAATTCAATTTCTTTTTGGTCGTGACAACAACGTGTTCAACAATAAAAATTCAGTATATTCCCTCTCGATTGTTCCTTCCCGATATGGAAGAAACTGGGAATTTTTATTCCAGTTGGTTCAGGTATGTATATATCATTTTTCATCTTTTTCAACCAAACAGACCAGCTCTAAAATGGCGGTCCAATCTGACACTTCAATTAAAGCACTTTGTAAGCACTTTTCTTTTTTTTTTATTTTGACTTTTTCAATAATTAAGTAGCCGTGACGGTCGCAAATTCAATAGCCTTTGTTTATTTACGTGTTTCTTTTTCTTTCATTATTATAAAATTTTAGCAGCAAAAAGGTAAATTTAGAAGCCTTCACCGGACTTCTAAAATTACAGCTTTTTAAAGCAGATTCCCTGATAGCCTATAGATAGTTACAGGGAGACTCAGCCCCTAAATGGTACCTTTATTAGGCTTCAGGTATATCAAAGGGTAGGGAATTGAAGAGTTGAAGTATATGAAAGGGCAGGAAAATCTATCATTTAAGTTTTTTAAAACAGGTTCCCTGACTTGTGTAAATTAAGACCGTAGTTGTTCAGAATAATGATTATATCGTATCAGCAAAAACCTGCATTTTCCATCGATTCACTCAACAGGTATTTGTCGCAACTGCCGGGTTAATCTTGACATGCAGAAAATAGGGGAGCTGCCCACAAATCTTCCGGAGACCAAGAACCTTTCTTACGAGGAAACTGAGACCATTGAGACTTCTGTAAGTTCTGAGCTGGCACTCAATGGAAATAGTGCTATTAACAGTGACACCAAACAAAGCCCGCGGGGCAAAAACGATAAAAAAAAAAATGGATAGGGACCTTATCATCACAAAATCTGCATGAGCGGGCCCCGTTTCCTTGCTGCCTTTTCTTAAAATGTAACGAATAGGGATAGAGAGCACAAATTAACCGATTTCGTAGACCTCAGACTGTGTGCTGGTATCCAAGAAAACAATGCCATATGCTTATTTTGTGCCTTCTACGTCAGTTTTTCCTGAGTTCCGCAGATAATGAAGAGGTTTAATACCCCGTGCATTTTATGTCGCCCTTGCGTCTGCACACAGTTGAAATTTATTCAGCGGATTTTCTATTTTTATTCTCACCAAAATCTGAGAACTTGAAGCAGTGGGGCAACAAGTTAAAGACCACGTTGTCCACGATGGTAAGCTGAGGCCAAATTGTTCTTTTAAGAATAAAGGGTGCATTTAAAAAAAACTTCATTTTTGCTTCCACTTGCCCCCACCAACACACACGCATCCCTCCACCTTATACCGCCAGGGATACGAGTTCATGTGATTTTCTCAAGGTTAAGGATACGGTGAATAAGGCCCAGAAAAACGTTTCGGGTTTCCAATATACCACTCCAGGTTCCTCTACCACTCGCTTTAAAGTTCGTACTTATTTGTCACAATGAAAGGTATTTTATGTAATAAATTAGGCACTTTTTATCATAAATGAAGGCAGCAAAAAATGTTTTATTTTTAGTCCATAATAAAGGCAACAAAGATCAGGAGGGATTATTGATCTTTGTCTAAGTGTTGGTTAACTTTGATAATTATGTACCCAATTAATTTTTTTAATACAGTTTACGTTATATTTATAGGGCGTGATGTGTAACCTTCCAATTGCTGCAAGTACTCCTTGTTCGGTGGTAGCACATGACTTACTAGAGCAAGAAACGTCTTTATGTTTACCATCAATCCTCCTAGAAGAAACCGAGACAAGCACTACAGGAATGAAGTCGGAAGAACCTATTGACCACCTTAACAGTTTCTTAAGAAGTCGAGACGTTAGTCCTATTAGGTACACCCTAAAGACACCTTGGAACGATCGATGCCAGTGGAAGGACCAGACGACTGCATGAGCGTAAAGCCGAGCAAGCGGTTTCAGCTGTTCTTGGTGAAATAGCGCCTAATGATCCAGATCTTCTCTGGGATACTACTATGTCCTCAAAACAAAATGAAACTGGAAATCACACTTGTTCTAGTGGTTTGGATAAAAAAATTGATGTACACGCTGGCAAACTGCGACAAAAATGCAAACGACTGGGATTCTCGCAGGCAGATATTGTCCATAATGGCGGATAAGGTTAGCTTGGCAACAATTCAACAGTGGATCCCAGGCCTGACAAGTTATCGGTTTAAGGTCGCCAGGCAGCATGCTGTAGTCCATGGCAGTGGAAAACTGGTGCCTACCAATGCACAAACGAAGTCATTCATACCTGAAGCAAAATTAGCGCATTTCCTAGACTCTATCACAAGCTCCCATGTAATTCAAGATCTTCCATTCGGAGCCAAGATAATAATAATAATATAACATTGTCAACTAACGAGGTCATCCAAGTTCCAAATGTGGTACGGAACATGATACCTGAACGAATCGTTTGCCAGTACCAAAAATATTCTGCCGAGCATGATTTCACACCCATGAGTCGCAGTACACTGCTAAGAATTCTGCATGTTTGTTCCGCTTCGACTCGCAAGTCATTGCAAGGGTTAGATTACTTAAGCTGTTCTGGTGCGCAGGTATTTGAAGATCTTGTGAACGTTGTGCACCAGCCCGGGAAAACGGAATGGGTCTTACATGGGCAAAACACAAAAGGAAGCTTTAAAGGAGGCAAGGTGGTACCTCAAGACTGATTTCAAGGTAAAATAAGAAAGTGAAAAAGGGAAATAATTTTGTTGCGCGCCTGGCGTAGGTGTATTATGAATGTTACTCGACTGCCTACTACATGAGTGCTCTCTAATTGGTTACTGCTCGCGTCTAGGTAGCTGAATGAGTGTGGATTCCCACTGTCGCGTAAATTTCACGTGCATACACACGTAGCTTTTAGGCGCGTAATTTAAATAGAGGCAATGTTTGAAAGGTC